CCCATTTCTCGACCCTTCTTCATCACGATGATGTTGATGATGATGATGATGTGAAAAGAGACGAAGAAGAAGACGAAGAAGCGGAAAAATATTGTGCATACTTATGTTCTTACAAATTTGAAAGGTGAGATGATATTAATGTCGGAAAGGAAGAAATCTATCCGTTGCTTGGTCACCTAGCAACATTTACATGATTTCATAGATTTCCTCCTCCTATGTCAAATATTCCAATATCAACTATATAAAACGATTATTTAGAATATAAAATATTAAATAAAATAAAATGAAAAAAACAAAACAGAATATTGAGTTTCATTTTAATCGAAATAATTCATCATTTGTTTTATATAAGCAATTAAGTTTCATAATCGTCTAGACATGAGAATGAGATATGTAATGATAAAAAAGAAGAAGAAGAAGAAAAAAGAAAGAAAGATTTTTTCCTGTTGATTTCTATGAATTATCTATATATGATGTGGAACTTTAATTCTTTATTTCTCTATCCCATATTTATGTTCATTAAATTCCTACATGCGCTTTCTACCAGCGCCAGTTCGATGTCATGGTGATTATTGTCTTATTTAATATGTATTATTATATAGATGATCTTTTATTATCATCAACAACATCGACCATGACGTCACCAATTAAACTTGAAAATCATCCAAATCGACAGCAGCATTTACACCACCATCAACAACAACACGGAACTATGGTTAAAAATCTTCATTTATCTGAAGTAATTACAACTGCTGCTGCAATTAATCCTAATCAATATAATGGTATTGGTGGTACACATCGTCATAATGTTGTTGATCCAATTGAAATGACAAAATTATTAAGTAATATAACAACAACAAATAATTCGTCATCACAAATCATTCCAACATCTTCAACTATGGATAATTCAAGTCGTTTAAATCATTTTTCATGGGAAGAAATTGAAGGACGATATTTACCAGTTATTTTCAGGTATAAATACAAAAATAAGGGCAAAAGAACAATTAACGTTTTTTTTTGTGTAGTGTATGATAGAAATCATAAAAATTTCTTAATATATTTATATATTTTGTTTGTTTTTACTTTAAGAAATGAAAATGATTGTTTACAACGTTATACATCAAAGATGTTTGTCGAAAATACATTATTTCAAAGTGAATCTTGGCAACGACATGCAGTATTAGCTCGTTCGCTTCCACCATTAATATCATTTCCATATACAGAAAATGAATTAAAACTATTTCGTTTAATTGTTGAATGGCATTTAGCTAGTTTTCATTTTAAAACTATTCTACCAACGGATTGTCTCATACGTTTCGATGATCTTCTGGATTTCTATGGAGCTTTAAGAAAATTACGAGATACAGTATCAACAACATCTTTTAATCGACCATTACCACCTCCTCCACCACCAATTCCAGCATTAATACCGATGGGACCACCAAAACAACGTTTACCCCCATCAACACATAGTCTAGCACAATCATTCGAATTACCAACAATGGGTGGTAATCAATCGATTAAATCCCATATACATCATTCTCATCCATCATCTACAAAAATCTATCCACCAACAGTACATCATTCTCATTCATCAAATTATCTATTACAACAAAATGCTGATATTCTTGCTTCATATCCTAATCAATCATTTAATTATAACTCTGTACCATCAAAATCGAATGTACCTACTTTACCATCATCATCGTCTCAAGTAAATAAATGCTCGTTTTGTTTTTTTGTAAATATATTTTCTTTTTTCTTCTAGTGGAATGAAGGATTATCTACTAAAACGAATGATAAGATTCATCCAACACTTCCAAGACATCCAATTCCTTTGAATAATCCAGTATCACAAGAACAATCCATGCGTGATAAACGTTTATTAGCACAAAAACTTTCTCATCAATCCATTGATAATAATAATATTTCTCGTGAAGGCAAAGAATCAGGTTGGGTACAAATCAATAATGTTTTTGTTCCTTATATTGTAAAAATAAAATTACGTGAAAATGAACTTGGTAAATTTTTGTTTTTCGAAATAGAACAAAAAAATTATATCTTATCTATTTTCTTTAGAAAAATGTACAATACGTCAACCTCCACCACAATTACAACGTGAATTTTATGTTCCATATGAAATTTTAATTAAATGTCATATATTTTCTGATAATGAATTTGCATTTAAAAAATTTTTAATTAAAGCTACACAACAAGATTTTGATATATTCAATAATCTTATATCAAATATAAATATATTCGATGAAAAAGTTCCTGAAAAAACTTTATTAGTTAATCTCTATCATGTTATGATTGGTCTACAAAAAGTTTTATATGTGAAATTATTAGCAACTAAACAACCACGTACACAAGTTAATAAATATCATGC